AACGAGAACTAGGGTAGTGTCCTTGGAAACAGGATTGGACACACACACCCGCGCGGACGGAGGCCGCTCTTTTGTTCTGCAGCTCATGCCCTGCGTGCGGTCGAAACATCGGCGCCAATCATTTTTTGTGGTGTCTGAGCGAGGGTCAGTCTGAATCATGCCTTGGATTTGTGACCCAATCTTGCGACCGTGCACACCCAAAGTCATGAACTCACCAACTCACCCACATTTCTTTGGGTCAGTGACGCTTGCCATGACTCATCCTGACCAAAGCAGCACCTCTCTCCTGTCAGCCACCGATGGTCGGCAGATCCATGCAGGTTGAGACCGGGCTTCGAGGAGCTTCGCGGAAGGGGATCGAGGAGCGGAAGGGGTGGCCAAATTCGTGCAAAAGCCCCGTGGAATGGTGTGGGGTGTAGGATGGTGTAGGGTTCATGATCGGTGATGGATGTCCAGGATGAACCCCCCATGATTCTTGACACTGGAGTTTCCAAGAACACTTGTCGGCTTCACCTGTTCATGACCCGAATTCGGGCGCTCCCTCCATGGTGCTTTTGGGTCTTCAAGCCGGTCGAGCCGGCAGCCACTCAAGTCTCGCAAGCTGAGACCGGCTTGACCCTTCTCTTTCTTGGAGGGCCTCCCACCAAAACGGAGAGAGAGAGAGAGAGAGACCATTTTTGAGGCCCAGATCTGTGAAAAAGTGTGATTCTATGGATTGAAGTTGGGCTGCCAAATGTCTGACATCTGAAAGATTCGCACCTCATCAGCATGACGTTTCTTTGATGGCCCCAATTGTCACCTCGTCCTCCGATCGAAACGGCTCGCACCATGTAGTGCTTGGATTTGAAAGGCCGGCTCCCATCCAAAGAACACTCAAACAAAAGTACGTGATGTCGATTTCGGAAAGCAAAAAAGTTCCGGAATCTACACATCTTGTCCTCTTGTTCGGGGTGGCTTCACCTCTGGCTATTTCATTTTCCAGCAGGCCTTTTGATACCCAACCATGCCATCTAAGACCAAGGGTCGGGGTTGATCACTCCGCGACCACCGAGATGAGGTTTCCCATCAACCCCAAGGCGAGTGGGCCATGGGAAGCAAACCTCTCCCAAGGGCCCAAAAAGGGTGAAACTCACAAGGCATCTGGCAAAGGGGTCCAGCTTTTCCGTCCAGCTCAGCGCCTTCCAAATACATGGAATGGTGGAAGAGAAGCACCCTTTGGCAGGTGCTAGCTGTTAGTCTTGATGCTTTGCACCGGTTCCGCTGTTCAATCAAGTCTTCTTCATGGTCCAAGATGGCATCAGTGAGAGATATGCCGACCCCTGCCAGATCGCCAGCCCCGCATCAAATCTGGCTTGGCTTAGCACCAGCTTCAAGCGCCAGGTCACTGGGTTCGCTGGCAGGCAAAGGAAGGTAGCGAGTCTCCCTCGTTGAAAAAAACAAACGATCCATAGACTACTTGGTCATGTTTCTGCTTTTGTCTTCTCAGACACCGGGATCCTGGGTGCATTTGAGCAGATCAAACAGCCACAAAAGGGCGGGCCACAAAAGGGCGGGCCCCGCAAAAAGTCCAGCCAAAGCTCCACACCTCCAGGCGAAAGTCCCTCAAACTTACCACCCCCCTGTCATACATTGTCATACAGAATCGCCTTTGGCGAGCCCAAAGTCATGGCGTGTGGGAGGATCCTGCCCCAAAGCTAAAGCTAATTGAACTCAGGTAGCTGAACCTACATTTCGTGATAAACTGGCTCTCAACCCTGGCAACTGAACCTCAGCTTCAAAATTCCCTGTGTGAAGGTGGCCAGCCTTCGGTTCAGTCTCTAGATGTCTCTAGTGACTACCTAGTGAGTTAGTGTTATCATGTTGTTATCTGACATGTTTGCCGAAAAGGATGCGCCCAGTCAGCCTCATTTAGCACCAAACAAAACACTGAGTACTCATGAGTGCTGATGAAACAAAACCCGTGCCAACCACTATAAAAATCACTGTAGTATCTATATACATGCACATGAAAAACTCATTAAAACACCATCTCAGGGACCCCTCTTTAGAGGAATGTTGGCCGTAACGGCAGCTCTGGCCCGGGCGAACTCTTGGGCGTAACGAACATGTGACCGTCACCTTCCTCGTTCGGTTTCGGAGGACCGGAGGGGTGCTCCACTTCGGAACCTCGTCCAGGGAGTGGCGGGAGCGTGCAATGTCCTGAAACAGGTTCATCCTTGTGTTGCCTTTTCTCCTTTCGCAGGGGTGGCAAAGCATGAAAAAAGTCAAAAAACGTGCCTGGAACATCTTCGTGATTCCTTTTCGTTCTGGGTGGGGCAGCAAAAGGAGGGGACAACAACTTAAAAAGGCCTTCCTTTGCGACTCCCGGCGTCGGCCGGGCCCAGCGATCCAGATCATTCTGTACACGCGCAAGCTGCTCGAGGCATCCAAGGAGGTTCTTGTATGGAACACGTCCACACCATCGGCACACAACTCTCAATTGGGCCGATTGGAGAAGACACCGGACCAACTCTCAGGTAAAACGAAGCAAAATACAGAAAACAAACTCTCCACAGGATTCGGGCCTGTTGCTCCAACCATCCAGCAAAACATCAACCCGTCTCTCTTTCAGGCGATTCGTTTCATAGTTTCCATGTATTTTCTCCATCCCGGTCAGTCGGTCTCAGTCGTTTTTCGCTGCTTTTTCTTCCGGTCCGCTCTACGCTCGGCCGTTTCCACTGCCTCAGGGCACAGTGGGGACCGACGCCTTGGAGTCCGACTTCTTCTCCTGAGCGAGTCGGTCTCTTGGAGTCTCGAGTTCTCAGAAAGGAAGCCGAGGTCGGCAGGTGTTTGATTTGGTTTTTAGATGTGGGGAGTTCTTTTTGATCTGCAGGGAGTGCCCTGCAGGGAGTGCCCTGCAGGCGAGTCCCATGGCTCAAAAAGGATCTACCAAATGTCGACGACGATCCTCTTCCACTAGCGGCCGGTTGAACATGCCAGGTCTGAACTCGACTGAGTGCGCTCATCCTCCAAACGACTGGAAAAAAACAAAACGATCTGACTCAGTCCTAAAACTTCTCCAGAGCGCCGACCCCCAGAGAAACCAAAAAAGACCTCTTCTCCGTGCTACGACGGCGCCTTGGACGCAAACCACGCAGGGATCAGCTTCCGCTGCATGTCCGGGTCCATCAAGGCCTTGCATCGTCGCTCAAAGAGCGTTGTCCGTCAAAGGTCTAGCGCCTTTGTCCACGAAGTGATGACAGGGTGTGCAACATTGAGGCGGAATGACTTGCACCTATCATAGCTCAAGCATGCCAAAGCCGTATTCTTACCAATTGGAGCACCATCAAGGACTATGTTCACACTGAATCAAAACTTCAAGGGAGGAGCGCTTTCATGTATATATATATATATAAGAGTTTCTGACCTTTGGAGTGGGTGACTTTGGGCCTTAGTGGGCTGGGGTGACAATGCCGAAACGCAATCGCCATCACACAAGTGCCTACATCTGACCCCGTCCAAAACCTAGCACAGCGGGCTATGTCAGCTGGCCTGTTGGACACCCTGATCAATCATCATATGGACTCGGGGGTTCACTGGTTTTAAATGGTTTTAGTATGTTTTAGTCTATTTTTGCTTTTGATGTGGTGCACCCAATGTTGGAGCCACATGCGGCATATTTGGTGATATCATGTCCTACCCGGACAGGATCAAATGCCTATTGGGAGTGGTTGGACAAAGCTACCCAGCAGGTGAAACGTGGTGAGCTCCAACAAAAGCGGAGGAACTGCTTCTCAGGCCAGGGCCAGTTCCTCTTTGGAGAAAATAAAGAGGTGTTCCTGCTGGTGTCGTGCGACACGTTTCGCATGATTTTGGGGTTCCAGCTTCCTGGACCGATGCAACCGGTGATTCTCTGAGCTGCTTGGGTCTTTCTTTGGTCGTTGGATCAGTGGATCAAAAAGACTTAGGAAGGGTGGATATCGTGGCGGAGGATGCGGATTTTTAGGGCAGGAATCTCCACAGCAAATGGATGCAAGTCGTCCTGCTGAAGAAGTTCCTTGACAATGTGTGACGATGTCACATATATATATCATTGTCTTTGTGCTTGGGCTTCGACATAGTGTTTGAGTTCTTTCATCTTTCTTGTCCCTCACCCTCGCCCTCAAAAAGTAGATGTTACGAGGGGAGAGCTTTGAACACCCCAAGCCCCGAGCACAAAAATAATCATGTCCAGGTCTTCCTCTCCCCTGGCTTCCACAATACCAAGCCATCGCTACTAGGGTGGAGGCCATCCCTACTAGGGTGGAGTAATCTAGCTCAGTGGCTGTGACAGCTGGCGCCATGGGCCCCCTGATCCGGCTGGATGGGGGTCGGAAACACCCGTCGAACGACGGGCACATCATTCGGTCCGGCAGCGGCTTGGAGCTACTGATGCGCCTCAGCAAGCACGGCGGTGGAAGGGAAAAGGGGTGGAAAGCCACTCACTTTAGTCGTATAGCCTATATATAGCATCACATAGGCGTTGAGAGGGCTTCTGGCTGATGCAGGAGTGAGAATAGTGCCAAACCTTTCCTCCAACATTCCTGAATCCCAGGCTGCATGCCGCCTGATCACGCCTTATGAATCCATGCAGCAGCCCCCTTCCCATGACCGCCCATGTCATAGTCTTTCCACCACAGTTTGGAGATAAAGATTGTCAAACCTAGGGCCAAAACAGTATGAGTTCTTGATAGTTCTTGATCAACCACCTCCCAAAGACCTGTCCCTGTTTACTTTTCAACTGGACCTATCTAGCTTCGGGACCGCAAAGCCCACGCGATCCCATTCCCCACTTCAGCTGTTGCAGGGCAAAATCCTGACCGCCTCTGACCGCGATCGGGTGTGCGCACGTGTTGGGGTCGCGCAGGTCATCGAAAAGCGCCTGAGGCGCTGGAGGAAGAGGGCGAAAAGAATAGAACGGTCAGGTGGACACCATGAAAGCTCCAAAATAAATGTTGACAGAGATGTTCCACTTCAAGGGCTGTACTTCTCTCTACCAGCAGCTCTTCAAACCTGCTCCACCAGGCGCCCGGGCGTGGGTGCAGCACTGCAGGCCTGTGGGGCGTAGCTTCGGGTCGTAGACCAACAGCTTGGAGATGTAGTCCACGGCCTGGCGCAGGACACGGCCTGGTCACTCCGCCCTCTCCCCCAGCACTCCCAGCATTGGCTGCTTTTGTCATGTTTGTTGCGAAAGGGCGCCTCCTGGGAGGTCCTGGAGCGGAAGACCTGGCAAGACTGCCGACTGGGTTGGGTGAAAGGGAGCTTCTGAAGGCTGGAACTGATGGGTTGCCGGATCCACTCGATGGATGCCAAACCCACCCACATGAATATTTCAATTCATGGATACTCCCCACGTTTTTGGCCATTATCCACTTGAATGTTTTGGACTTGTCTCTGACTAGTCTAGGCACTTCCAGTGTGGGAAAGACCTGCGTGCAAGTGAACTGGCATACCCCCAGCCCCTACCACTTGCAAAAGAAAGAAAACAAAAAGAAACAAACTCCAAATCCCTTGCTCCCTGCCGGTGCTGAAAACCCAGCCAAAAAAAAAACACAAACATATATGCCCATGGCCAAAGGGTTGTCCAGCCAAATGTCTAGCTTTAAACGATCTGACCTGGCCAACATCTTATCCCGGTGATGCCTGGGAGGTCAGTCATTGGTGACTCTGGTCATGGTGGTCCCTTGGCTTTTTTGGAGGGCCCGTCTTTCAAGTCGAAACGGCCTGTGATATATAAATACCCTCGGAACTAACATGGAAGTGGAACATGGCCCCGAAAGGAAGACCATGTTCCTCTACAAACACGGGGTGAACTCCACTTCCATGTTAGTTCCAGAGAGCGTATATGTGTTGCCTTTAAAATTGTGTGCAAAAGGGGGCCGGCATAGATGATCGGGATTGAACTAAATCTTCGTCCGTAGCACTTCAAGGATTAGTCATGGTTGAGTTCACTCAATTACCTCCTTCACAGAAGGGTCGCCTGGCCCAAAACCGGCCCCGAAAAATTGCATGAAGTTGCCAACCAGTCAGAAGTCACCCTCAAGAATACAGCACTCTTCTGGTTGTCATCAGAATGAATAGGATTCAAAGCTATTGAAAGCAACCTTGGGCCCAGGCATCAAACGTCAATGGAAAAACGTGTAAAAAAATCGCATGAATGGCTACCGCACCACCGTTGCCTTGTGCCATGGGTGTGGCTTGATCTGCGGGAACTTGAACCTCAGATTTCATGGGGCAGGGAAATACACTCCGACGAGACAGCGGATGGATTGGATGGAGGGTTTCGCGGCGCAATCAAACAGGAGTTGTTGGCACGAAAAACCGCCTGAAGGCCTGAAACAAAAAGGGGTACGCCGAGTACGCCGACCAAAAAAGCGTTACTTTGGATACAATGTAGATGCATTTCATTGTGCCACCTGAGCTTCTTGTGTGGGCGAAAACCCGATATCCTAATGGCGGGGTTCAATGTGTCAGTGCCCAAAACTGGACCATGCTGCGCCCTTCACTCTTGCCTGGGGGCCTTAGGGTCTGGGCGGGCAAGAGTGCACAAACCGCACCAAATGTACACGGCTTCCACGCAACACAGGCCCCTCGCTTTCTGCCCGCCGGAGGAGCAAACAGTGCCCTCCCCTTGAGGCACCAACTCTGTGTAATTGGGGTTCATCGCCATGAGCTCCTCGCGCGTCGGTGTGCCCAAAACCTTGATGATCTCCACCTTCGCGTCCGAGGCGCGTCGCAGGCGTCGCACGAGGCGGCCGCGGCGCCGTGCCACACCACGAAGCGTCGCGGCGCCATGTCTGGGCTGCCGGGCCAGCTGGTCGACACCGCTCTCGCCTGGGAACATGGGGTGCCCCAAGATGAGCTCGGCCGAAACGCAGGCGGCCGACCAAATGTCGATCACCTGAGTCAGGACACGATGGGCACGATGTAATTAGAGCGAGGCCCAGTGAAACACGGATTTGGAGTGGTACGTGGGGAGTTGGAGTGGCTCCCCAGGTGTCATGGGATAAGCACCTCTGCAAGCCACAGCGTGTTTGAGTGGATGTGTGCCTGCTTGGAACTTCCTGAACTGTTTGGGGTATATATATATATATATGATATAGGGCTGGGGGTACGGAGGTTCTTGCTGCAAAGGCACAAATGGATGCCCTCCACAAGGAGACAGGGACCAAATTTGAGACTCAAGTTCATCCTGGAACCCGTCTCATTCCACCTTACTTAATTCCGTAGGCGCCTACTCAGTTAAGTAAGGACGGGCCTTTAAACATAGCAAAATCAACTCCAACTCTGCCGGGCCACAAATCCATAGTCCGTGGCCCCAAAGATCAGCTCGGGCGCGCGGTAGTAGCGCGAGCAAATGTAGGCCACGTTGGGCTCTCCTCGTACTAAGGGCTTCGCCGAGCCAAAGTCACAAAGCCTTGCGCACAGCCGGCGCAGCGGAGGGGAGTGGTCGCCTGGTTCTGGTGGGGATCTCTATAGTAGGTCGCAAACCTAATTATACACTGTTTGTAGGATGGATTTGTGCACAACCTACAGTAGTGTTCAACGTTTCCCACCGTTGTCTTGGTGCCAGGAGGCTTCAAGGCGTGGGTGTGTCCATCCACCAAGAGATTTTGCGGCTTGATGTCCCGATGGCAAATCCTGGGCGGAAACTGGGAGAGTCCGGAATCATTTCCGCTTCAAAGGAGATTCTTGAAGGTGATTGTTGTGTGGAAAAAGATTTATTGGAGGCACGTCACCGGCGAGAGGTGACAGACCAACCCAATACTTTGGACTTAAGCAGTTCCTAAAAGACGGTGTGTAAAAAGTGAGTCGAGAACCAGAAAAAAAGATCTGCGTTCGCTCCATGGGCTCAGATCAAACATGTTCCATGGAAGATTCCACGTTTCCACCGGAAGGCTCGGCCTTTTTTTGCGGAGAGTTGAAGCCCTCGGTAGGCGCACCCTAGACGTTCCAGAAACTCAGCTGGCGGACGGGAGCCTGTAAGGCTTGCCTATTTTCCTATGACTTCTCCTCTTGCTTCACCTCATACAGCAGCGCCCCTGCCCAACTGGGTCCCCTACCCAACTGCATGGATGTACGCACATGCGCGGCCCATCTGGCAACGGCGCTGCTTTTGGTCGCTAGACGGCGGTTTTGATGCAGCAAACGGTCTAAAAGGGCAGTCAAACTTGGCTCCCTCTCCCTCTGATTGGGTTGTGGTGACTTATCACTGAAAGGGCAGTACATTCAGTCGCCAGCGGCGCTGCTCGCGTGAGCGGCCTGGTAGGAATAAAGCTGCACGAAGATGTGCGGGACTGGCTGCTTCATCTTGCTGTAATGCTTCATGACACGGTAGATCGTGTCCTGGGCCGATAGCTCCCCCCACCGTGCATCGCTCTGAGAGTGGTCTACGATATGGTTTAGCCCGTGAACGTTGTGACCATCGAGTGTGGATCGGTGTGCTTTGGTAGTGCCTGAAACTGGGTGCATTTCATGGGCAACTCTCGTTGCTTCGGACACTGGAAGCGTTTCAACCACTGCAAAGAAATGAGAAATGCTGGTTTCGAGGTGGGGTCAGCCACCGGAATGTCATCATCTTACGCTGAGATGTCTGCTATGTCTGCTTCCATGTCTGGCGTCTCCTGCTGTCAGTTGTTCCAAGTCTGAATAAAGCTTCACCTTTCAGGTCCACAAATCCTGGATTTATATATATATATATATTGTCTGCATGTGCCCACCCTGGACAGAGCTCCGGACAGAGCAATACTCCATCACCACCTCGGTGGATGGACAGAGCAACATCGAGATGCATCCACCCAGAAGAGCTCAGAGGCATCTTCTAGTCAGTCAGCATGTCACCACGTGCAGCACAATGTCGTCGTTCAAGGACATATCAGAAACAAGACCGTACTGGCAGCTGCTGGCCTAAAGAAAAATAGGTGTCCTCTGATTAAAAAGAAAATCACTTGGATGTCCCTAATCCACTGTGAGGCAACTGGCGAATGGTCATACAGTCATACAGTATGACTATGCTTCACAAGTACCCTGGTGGTGACTCCAGTGACTGCAAGTGTGCTTGGGACTCCAATGTTATATATGCATCTCTTGGGAATCGAATCATGCGAGTTGGTGGTAGCTGTGGTGACCCTGAGGGTGCCTCCTCCCATTCCACACGCCACTGTGCACTTGTTGGCCCGTTTGTTTGCGGCTTGGGTGCCAGCCTTTAGAGCGCTCAGGACTCATCCAAGTTGCAGTGTCCAAGACCAAATGGTGACTGTTCCACCAACTAACTTGCAAACCCCAGTCCTGGGCTACCATAATAAGCTGCCGCTCGGCGAGGGAACATGGTAGTTTCCAGCAGGGTACCGCAGTCTTTCCACATCATTGACCCGTTGGTAGAGGAACAAATTGTCCATATTCTTGACCGGGGGGGAAATGGGGTGTAGGCTTGGAGCTGTGACCTTACTTACGTGTCGTATTCTGAGGCCAGGGCTGGACTTCTGGGCAGGATGGGTTGGTCAGAAGCCCAAACAGGTTGGCCTGAAGGAGGTAAGACTTGGGCTCGGCTTATCCAAGTCTCATCCCAAAACGTCCGCGGTTCGTTCGCCGATCGCCCACCAGTGCCCCTGCACGCTGGGAAGTCTCAGGCCCCGGGCATTCAAATATGTCTCACCCGGCTTCTCACCGGAGGTGTAGAAGGCATGCTTCAGCCTTGGAGTAAGAGCAGGTCGACTTCTGCTGCGCCTGATTCACGAAAAACACCTCGACACCGATTTATTGTCGTCCCACCTCCCAAGCAGCTTATTTATTGAATTGATGATCGTCCAAAGCGTTCCCTCAAACCAACTGGTTGACCACAAGCTCCGAGCTCCACCACGTTTGGGTGCTTCAACTCCTGTTGGGAGCCGGTTTTTCCCACGACACTAGAGTCGCTCGTGTTCCAAAACACAAGTCTACCGGAGGTGCAGTGGAACACGTCGACACGTCAGACTCTCCTAGGAAAATTGAGCATGGATCTGCCCATGCAAAATTGATGGCATGTAATGGCATTTACATACATTATATAATACATGTTTTTCTTGTTTCTCTTGGGCCCTCTGTACAGTTCTCCTGTCCACATCAACCACCGTGAAGATACAACTACAGTACTGGTGTCCTGTGACTTTCCACAGACACATTCTAGCATGTATTAGCATGTCACTTCAGTCATTAGACCCAGCCACCTGTCCAGTTACCCAGTCCTTCATGATCTGCAACTCCCTGTTCTTGTAGCGCTTGTCCTGGCAGCAAATCAACCACGCTGAGGCCCTAGGTGTTTTTTGCGCCCCTCTTCTGTACGTCTTCTGCAGGTGCAAAGCAATGGGTTTTTCAAGCGATCGACTCCTGGAAGACTTTCTTGATGGCAACCGATTCACCCGTCTCCACCACCTGTTTGTCAGGAGGCACGCTAAGGGACAGGATCCGGAGGAATCTCCCAGGGGTGCGGGGTACACTCTGACTCACTAACATGAACGTGGAAAATGGTCCGAATGCCGACTTTCCTTTGCAAGCAGAGTGCTTTCCACTTCCGGGTGAGCCGGGGTGTATGGAAGATGGTCATCATGTCCTTACCGTAGGTCTTGCCCCCCTCGTGAAAGCAACGACCACTTTGAACCGCTACTGCCGGTAGCCCTTGGGGATGCAAGACATCCACCCTCTTTGCTACCTAAAGAGCGGAGGGGTGCCGTTCCAAAGGCCCAAATGCTGGAGATGTTCCTTGACCCCATGATTTCCAAGTGCATCCAAGCCCCTGGTTGACCGAAAGGAACCGAAAAGGACAAGGTGACAAGGCCGCGATGTTCACCATCCATGCTTTTGGATTGTGTGGCAGTATGTGGCAGTTCATCGTTGTATTAGGAGTGTGTGGGAGGTGATCCCAAATGTGACACCCTTCTTCTCTTTGTCATTCCATCGCTGAAAGACACGGCTGGTGATCAAGTGCTCCACTCCGTTCGCTCTTAAGAGTTCCTTCTCGTTTCTTTCGTCAAGCAAAGCCGGGGCTCCACCTTCTCAAAAACCTCCAAGAACCGATCCCAATAAGTCCACAATAGATCCACAGATCTCATCCAAATACATGTGCGTATACGGGTAGGTCCTTACTAGCTGCAACTCTGAGCTGCACGGCCTTACACAAGTTACCCCACCCTTCCTCCGCTTGGCCTGGGCTTGGTAGACGACTCCAAAGGAGCCGCTTCCCAGGACCCGCTCGGCGTTGTAGGTGAAGGACGTCTTCTTAGAGCCGTCTTCCGACTTGCCTGACCGACCCGTGTTGGCCCGTAAAGAAGCCGCCGAAGCCGTCCGCGGTTTCAGAGAGTGAGGGAACATCCTCCGAAACGTGTCTGGTGGGTTCTTTGTGTTCTTTCTGTGGGCTCTGGTTGGAGGATGGGAATTTGGTTTGGTGGTGGATGGGTGGGGTCTGCGCACCCAGGCTGAAGAAATTGCCAAATGATTCCAAATGTAGTGCAAGTACCTCACATATGCCTCTTGGAAGCGTCCTGCCTGCAAAAGGCAAATTCATCAGCAAAATTCCAATCTCCCTCTCTCTCACTCTCTCTCTATCTATGTATATATATATATATAAATTGCGATCAGTGTTCTTACATGTTCTTACTGCAAACGACTCCACAAAAAGCAAGTGCTACAGTGTAGCAGCTACACCTCAAACATCTGCAGCTCACCGTTCCAGGGGTCGAAAGTCAGTTCTTCAGATCGACAGACTCGAAGAACTGACAAGCACCCTGGGGCCTGGAACCAAGAGATGAAAACAAGAACCGAGCACTCCCCGTTTGTAGAAGTGAACCGAAAAAGAAGAATCCATTTTTGGGGGGGTCCCTCCGGCTAAAATCCGCAGGATGTGCACCAGGTGGCAGAGGGAAACGTCGCAGGTCCGGTGGCTCCAGCTAACCCCCAGGAGGTGTTCCAAACGTCTTCCTCCCACGTCGGCCGATCATCACAGGTTTTCTTTGGTCCCTTGGACGTCGCCCCGAGAGTTTTGGTGTCTTCGAACGAAGGTGTCGGGTTGTGGCCAAAGAACTCCCCCCCAAAAGAAGCTCGGCGCCTGGCAGCAACAAGGCGAGTTGTTGAAGGCTTGTTCAAAAAGAAACACCCATGCCCCAATGGGTCCCAAACGTGGAAGCGTGGCAGCCCCTGAGCGTGGCCTCTGTTCATGAGGGTAACTCAAGAAATCCAATCAACACACACCCACTGTGGCATTCTGGGGCTCCAAGCCAGAATCCATCTTCATGCTCTGGAAGGAGTTCTGCAACGCTCGCAGGTCCGTCGAGGCATCCCCCCTTCACCGACATGACTACCTTCAACGCCTGAGGCGGCGCGCCGAGGCACACCGAAAACACGCTCCCCTTCCCCCAAAAGACCAATGGACCTTTGAAATGGAACCTGAAAAAATGGACCCTTGGAACCGGAAAATGGCATGGACCGAAATGGAAGACGACGATGTTCCGAAGACCAACCCGACGTGGGTGGTGAACTCAGGTTCCATGTGGGTCTCGGAACCCGGGGCGAGTGTGCTCTATAAGACTCCCCCCTGGAGCCCTGAGCCTCAAGCCGAACATCAAAGATCAAGCCGTTCGTGGTCTTTCGGATCACTGCGTCGGACCCGTGGAGACGTGGACGGTGCTCGAGACGTGGACGTCGGGCCCCGAGGCTTGGTTCGGCCCGTGGATCGGCCGACGTGGCAGACTGTCGCCTGGGATGAGTGGGACCATCCCAAGGCTAAGAGCAGCTGGAATGGGCCCTCAACATGCCCTCGGCACGAGTCACTACTAGTCTATTGGGGACGTCAGGAGCCTTCTTCCAGTGATCTATCATCAGTCTCTATGATAGTTAGTTAGTTTACCGGCGTCTCGATGCCACGACATGCGCTCCAGTCGGCACATCAAGGCAAAAGCTAGCTACGTGAGTGCATGGTCAAAAGTGAGATCTGGGCCCCCCAAGCAGAGCCAATTCATCTCTAGTTGGGCCAAGCTTAAGTCTGACAACAATGACAGACAGTCGGATTGAAGCTTGGCCCAACTAGAAAAGAATCTGACTGAAATAATCTGAAATGAAATCAGGTCATCTGCTTAAGGCAGGTGTCTTGTCTTCATCGCTTATACCATCTTATAGCAGTTATAGTCTGCCTATTGTCTGCCCGTGTAACTGGCATAGGCAAGTAAACTGTTAAGCCAAGCTACCCCCCCATCTGAAATGGAGACCCACTTTTACGCGAAGGGCCTCCACATCTTCCACTCTCCAGCTGGTTTCCCGAAGACCAAGGCCCAGGCAAGACGCTCTGGCTGCTCGGGTCGGGTGTCGAACAACCACGAACCGTCACGAACCAAGCTTTTGAGCAAATCATGCAGCAGAAGAATCGAGCAGCAGCCATGAACAACCCAAAATCCCCAAGTCTGGGCACATCTTGGCAATGGTTCAAACATCACGCCTTGTCTCGTTGTCCGGGGCAGCCGCATACAAGCCACATGGGCATGGCCCCATCAATCTGCGCAAGCCCCGGCGTGGGTCTCCAAAATTTAGTAATAAAACAAATTTCGACAGTGGACTTTGGACCTTGGTTGAGGGCATCCCTAAAGCCCTATTTATCTACCGCACCAATATAACATCAGTTGGGCTTGATTTCGGGCTTCTGCCCGCCACCCTATGACACCCGGCCCGAAGCACAGTTCGTGTTTTCGGTGTGTTTTCAGCGAACCACGGGCGAGCATTGGCCGGCGCGGTGCTGTTTCTTGCTACTCACGCCCCGTGCTGCGCGGGGTCCTGGGGCCAACGCTGGGGCAGGGTGCTATGCACAAAGGCTGCACCGGGTCCGGGGCCGAAAGCGAGGAGAAACATGAAGCTGACCGGATATGGAAAAATACCTCAGGACTTCGATGTATACATAACAAACAGTATATTGGATGTGCATGGGACCGGACTTGGCAACTGAAAGACTGAAGAGCCATACCAATTCGTTGTGGCACTAATCATTACAGTAGATCCACAGTCATTGACTTTCCACGGCCCTGCAGGGTGAGCACCTCAAAAGAGTCCGTAATCATCCTGGTTGATGGTACTGCATCAAATTGGTTCATGTGTACATCTCCTTGAGCAGGCAGGTCGGAACCCGAACTGTCACAGGTTGCCACATGGTGGAAAGGGTGTCGACCAAAATCACCCCATAGTGGTACTCCATGAGGACCAGCTGTTCCAAACGCATCAATAGACTCAATCAACCGCCTGAAACTCAGCAATCAAAACACTGTGTTGCCCCATGTTGTCCCCAAACCCCAACGACATGTCAACGCAAACACTATTTATTATATAAATATATATTGTATATATATATATGTATATGTATACCGATCGATGTTTTCTGGTCTCTACTCATCCACATTCAACTCCTCACCACCCTTGACAAAAGGCTCCACCCCACCCCCCCCATCCCCTCGCTCCTGCGCCTGATAGCGCGGGGTCTCTCTCACCGTGGGGAGCTGCGAACGCACGGAGATGGGCAAAGCGGTGCTCTCACCCGGCCGAGTGGTAACGTAGGTCTTTTCCTCCCTGGGCGGTGCAGAAGTCGGCAGAGACGCACGGTTTCGAGTCGAGCACGCTTAAGCAGCTTTGGGTGAAGTTCATTGGTACACACTTTTCTATGAGCATGGTCTTTGAAGGCTTCGGACTTCCACGGCCATCTCGTGATTGGGTGGCTTCAACGTGGGAAGTGCCATCGGCTTGGGCGGGTCAGCGACAACGACACTTTGAGTAAAAAGTATATGGCCGGGCGGTGATTGAGCGATCACTTCGGTCATTCCTTGTTTCCCATGGCATCTCAAGGCGGTGATATGTTCTATTTTGTACGCTGAAAAACTTCAGGGCTCTCAGTTGGCCATTTTGGAGCACGGATGTTTGGCTTTTGTGTCATATTTAGGTGATGCACAAGTGCACTGGTGAGCTGTAGGATTTTAGATGATGAGCAACTGAACAGGCAGTGGTTCATCAAGGGCCCTATTGGGGGTTGTGCACAAGCATGTTGTTGCGGGGATTGCCATTCCCTTTCTGCTTTCAACATGGAGTAAAGAACTCCCTCTCTCTCTCTCTCTCTTTGGTTGTTCAGGTAAATTGTATACATATCCCGAATATGACAGTGACTCGTGGTCGATGAAAAGCACGGTTAGCTCCTTGTCTTCTCCTCGAGGTTAACCCGAGCCAAGGCGTTTGAGCCTTCAAAACGACCTATATACACTCCCTTCTTTGACCCGGGCAAGGCGTGGAATCCACGCCAAACCGGCACCGCAAAGTGGCCCACGCTTGGTTTCAGGCGCGCCTCGCTTCTGCTTGAGCCTCGCATATGTCCAAATCCAGGTCAGCGATCCAGTGGCTTTGGGAATTTGAAGATGTCTTGGGTGGACGTTGAACTTTCAATTCCGTCGGAGGATAAACGTTTGGATCCAATCTGAAGATGCCTTTGGAGGATCCAGTCTCGCAGTAAGGGTTGTCCACACACACTCATACACACACACTTAAAACGTTGCTCGCAAGAGCTGGATCAGTTGACGAAGTTCCCCTTTAGTGCAGGTAGACCTTGACTTAAAAATGCAGAGCCGAAAGGCGATGGAGTCCCGAAATTTGAAGATGTTTCAACATTGTTTTCATCGCATCAGCCCTTTAAGGAGAAAAATGCAGGTACGTGAGTCAAGCGTCCCTGACTCATATCACAGGAAACGTGCAGCGTCTGCGTTGGTCGCTGGCTGCACGAATCCCCACCAACCCCCTGCATCACCTTTACATTATTTTTGAAACGAATTGTGCGTTGCAGAACTCCTTAGGCACAGGTGTGGACACACACAGAGAGCCGTTTTCGGCGCTCCAAAGAATTACTAGCCACCTAACAAGCCTTAGAAAGAAAGACAAAGAAAAGACAGAAAGAGCAAACGAAGAGGGCAAGAGAGAAAGATAGGAGCAGTTACGAGGTCCACTAGTTAAGAAGCCACTTAGCCGAATGAATTAGGTGCACTCGTTAGCGAGCGGGACTTTAGTCTTAGACCGCCCGGGTAGGAACGACTAGCACAGCAGAAACAGAAAAAAAGGCACCAACACACAAGTGTGTTGAGTGCAATTTCCTTCTGTTACCCTAATTAGAGGGTGGGATAGCACCTACGAATTAGGTGCAAGGGTGGGTTGGGGTGGCTCAGATGCACTGCCGTAACCGGCGCTCCCTTGACTGAAAGGCACCTAGAACTACCTAAAGAAAGGCCTCAAGAAAACGAAAAGCAACAACAGGAAAGAAAACCAAACGGACCAAAGGAGAAAAAGCCCTTCACGTTGCTTCA